ATTTCAGTGAAGTAGCTGAGAATTCTGGGCACCAATCAGTTAGTCATCTACTTCACTACCACACGAATTCTTCAGGTCAGTATGACTCAACACTTGTTCTACATGATCATGGCCTCAGTTTCAGATAAATGATGAATATGTAAAAGTTGTTATGTTTATAGCCACTGTTTTTGTATGCGCGTGTGTGGATGCGGTTATGGATGTTATTAACCCGAGTGATCAGTTGTCAGACCGTGGTCAAGCGGTCAACATGACGAACTAATGGCCTAAAGGTCCCGAGTTCGTATAATCACCGGGTTCTGCTTCCCACTTTGACAATTTCCGGTCGGCCTCATTACCATTCCAGAAAATATTCAATCGTTGTATGATCAATGAGGCAAGCAAGCAACAAAGATTCCTGATATAGCTTTTCTGTTAGCTCACCCTCTCGCACAATGAGCTGGTGCACACACAATCAGCCATGGATTGGTATATTTTACTGCGTTCTGTGATGCAATCAGTTTATAAACTCAGATGGAATGGAGAAAGCGAATGGCGGTGATAGTGGTGCTATGAGGATACTCAGTCGTCCGTCTCGTGCCGTCCCGTTCTCTATCAGGTTCCATTGTCCTGCTGGATGAACTGGAGTGCGCGAGGAGTTTTACACCGTTTAAATTACGCCTTTCGGAACGTCCACTTTGCACCTCCCATTAAATGTGCATTTGGGGCAAACGCGTGTGGTCCGGGCACTGGCCGGCCATGTGCCATTCACCTTCTACTCAATAACCGCAAAACGGCATTTTTGCGTTCTATTTTAATGTGCCGTTGGGCTTGGATGATGGAAATTGCTTTTGTTGGTCTTCTCGTACACAGTTCCATCAGAATGTGTACATGGTTACTTTCGTCTCCAGGTATTTGACAGTTTTGACAGATATTTCGAGATACGAACTTACTTTCCCCCATGGACACATTGCTATACTTGTTGGTACGACAGTCGGTTCGCTTGAGCTAGTTAGCTCTCTCCTGCTCAGCAAGTTTTCAGCGCGATCTTCGAAGATTGGCTCAGGTGCGCAGATACACCACGGATACTGTAGTAATAGGCTTGCTTGGCACTAGCAGTTTCAAATGCCTACATAGATGTAATCAACACCCCCACTTTTAGAACTTCCGGAGTGGTCGTTTAGCGCTTATTCGGTCGCTTAACTGCAAGTGGCAATACTCTACCGGCAACCAGCACAAACTGCGGATGAATCTTGACAGGTCTTGTTACATAGTTTTGGATTTGCGCCAATCGCGATCGGCTAGTGTTGCGAAATCAAAGGAAAGCATACCGCACAACTACACTTTCGACAATTTCACGAAGTTCCATTCCTATTTTGACTGCTTTGTACGCACTAAACCTTCTCACTTAAACTTCAGGTCATATTGTTGACACTGGCCAGTTGTAAATTTTGACCGGGTACTTTTTCACTGTAGCTCGTCGTATAAAACATCCAAATATCAATTTACGAAACTCAGTTCATATTTATTCTTCCTCTCCTCTTCTTTTAACGAGATCGAAACAGAAAGATGAATAAATATCCTATTACATTGGTCTAGAAACTAACCAGTCCCACCCTCAGTTTCACCGCTCTCTTTCTTGTATAGTTGTTTTTCTCCTATAACTCGTCCATCACGTACAAATCACTCGCTGTAAGCTTTCTTTCCGGACACGGCATCGGTTAAGATCACACCGGAGATCAGGTTTCTGTCCTGAATTGTATTCCTCGTTCTTGTCCACTTAACCTAGTTTTCAATCACGTAGTCGTCCTCATAATGAGAAAAAAGGACTCGATTTTAACCACGTACTTCCAGTTTTGCTTTGTTTGGAGCTACACGCTGTTCTATTTGTGTCCTTCAGTATACCAAAAGTTGCATTTCCGTGCCAGAGAACCGTAAAATCTTTAACGCCACTAGAGTACTCTGGCGATTCAGAGAGAAATTTTACAACCCAGTTGTTGCATCACCCCAAGTAAGCCATATGTGGTAAAAATATGCCTAGGCATATAACAGAAAGCACTATGGTGTCTAAGACTCGTTTCGCTGCTGCTTTGCTTCTCCAAGTCACAATATAGTCGAAAGATCGGTTAGTTCATTTTATCGCAAAAGATGATAGATATCTGAACCACATTTTGCATGCTCTGTTTCACAGATTGGTTACTCACATCTGCTCTGCGTATGTGATAAAGGGTTACATCAGCGCGATTTTCGTGGACACTTTAATCGATTGTTCTCTTCAATACGCCATCACTCATCAACAGTAGCGATCATGTGACTTTTATGCCCGCCTTTAGCCATTTACTCGCATATGTGGGACGTCCATAGAACAATCACGATTAAGCTGCATCACCATGAAGGATTTTTTGCTTGAATTACCTCAGTTTAACTCATTTTACTCTGGATTACACTTAGCATCAAGTGGTATCATGTTTGCCTTTGGCCTAACAAGATTTTACACACACGCACACACACACATACGCACACAAAATCTTAGTTTTTTTCTTTCTCGATGGTATCCAGAGCCGATTAACCGATTTATAACTTGATCAGTTTCGGTCCATTTTTTGGTAATCGCTAATCCCTAGGTATTATCATTTGTCACCCGATAGCTGCATTTTATTCGTGAAAGTCGGTAAACTCTGGATTCTGATCTCTTGCAATTCAAAAACATAAGCACAGTTTTATGTTCATGGCTGTAGACAAAATGGCGAGACTAACTTTCTACTCACCTTGTACAGTGTTTTTAACTGCAGATGTAAACGAATGCAATTCTTTTTCGTTTTCACGGTAAATACGGTTGTGCACACCACCAATCTTACCCAACGTATCCAACGCCTTCCAGGTAGCGGGGATCTAGAACATTTACTTGTCTATCTGAATCCATGACCGTTTTGATCAGATTGTATCCAGCTGATCTCTTACGGATCGAACGAGTTTTTCCACCGCGTACTCAGTAGATCTCTTATGTTATATGCATGCGTTGGAGGAGCGCCCGCTCGTGACATTGGCCAACGATGCCATCCACACATGTCTCCAATCGCGGCTGCCCATACTGGTTGACGCCGTAGCGTGGATAATAGGGCTTAAAGATGACATGATCATAAGGCCTTATGGGGTTCGGTACAAGAGACTTCCCCAGCGTCACGGATTTTTTCGGGGCGCACCTCTAGTCCCTCCGCAAGCAAGTGTGGACTGTAAGCCAGCAGCGTGTTGATGCACGGTTGCCAGTGGCTCCCTAGGAGCTCGTTCGCCTCTCAGTTGAATTGAATCCAACCCAGAGGTCCATGCAGCCTTGTTAGTTCGACAGATTTTCTTCACAGCCGCTGGATTGTACGGTTAATCTCTCGTACCTGTTCGGGGATAACTGTCTTTGCATGCCGAAAACTGTCTCACCAAGATTTTTGGACCTTGCTTATCATCAAGCTGGTTTAGATCCCCTGTCGAGTGGTTTTCCGGGACGTGGCCGCTGGTGCATGCTTCAACTTCGTGGATTCATTGGTGAGAACTGGTATCTGATGAAGACCAAATAGGTGGCAGATACCCCAAAGACACGATAGCCTACCAGCTCAGGGGTGCCAGTTCTATCGGACACCCCGTACCGCTACTCATTCCACAGAGACAATTTTCTTATATTCTATCATGCTACGGTTGAGTTACCGGAGGGTTGCTACACATGTAACGTTATTTCATGCGTTCATACATCTATTTGGTTTCCGGTGGGTGATGGAATCAATATCGCATTCATAATATGTTCCAACTGGCAAGATGCCGCCGATATGATGTGTATTTCATCGTTTTGTGTTTCTTCAGCATTGGCTGAAGCGCTCTATTCAACGGAAAAGACCGTGTGGACCAGCACGATCAATCGGGAGTGGTCTACGCTATCCCATGCCTAGGATGTGATAAGGAATACATAGGCGAGACAGGTAAACAACTACGTACTTGCCTACACGAACACAAACTAGCATTAGGACGCGCCGACCCACACTCACGATTTTTGACCACTGCGCAGAGACAGGTCACGAGGTCAAAATCGATAGCGCAAGGGTGATCGCCCGAGCAAAGAAGAAGTGGGAGCGCCTGGTCCTCGAAGCCCTCCATTCGATCAACTCGTTCAATCAACACGTCGAGGTTGATAGGCATTACGTCACCCTGGCAAAACCGGTCCCGAAAAATCGATAAACGAACAGACGAGCAAGACACCAAAACCGTGCGGAACCAGCTGTCCAATTCACACTCATTCACTCACGTTTGACAGCTAGTCCTAGCTTGGATCGAAACGTCACAATAAACGTTTTACAACTCGGTGTACGCCTTGACTTCTCTATAAATATATATATATATATATATATATATATATATATATATATATGTATATATATATATATATTATATATATATATATATATATATATATATATATATATATATATATATATATATATACGGATAAGTCCCGTCGTCGCCTGTGCAAATTCGATGACAAAGCTGAGGCCACGGAAACGGATCGATGAACCAATCAATGCCAACAATTGTTGAAATCGAATCAGCCAGTGAGGGTTGTAACCAGGCTAACCAGTCAAAAGAACCGACAATGAATAACAGTTGGACCACTTATTTTTCTTGTGATGATTTGGCTACGATCACCATGTATCTCATATTAACTGTCTGTTTTGTACTCAGAACGAGATTGTTAGAAGGTAGAAGAATCTTCCTGCTAGAGCTGGTAGGATCGACTAAACAGTTACCAGGGTTGTGGTGATGCTCAAAGGTCGGTTAGTCCTCGTAGTTATCCCTTCGATCGTGTCAAATAGCCGCAACATCAAGCGTTTGTGGTGTAACAGTTGATCCACCATGTAGCTTGTTTGCCTTTTGTTGCTCCGTGTATTCCCTTTTTATCTTCCCCTGAGTGCTGCATTGTTGTTGTTACCTCTTTGGGTTATTCTGCATATGAATTTATATTCGCTGTGTTGTTTTCCCAGGCTTATTCCACAGTTGGCACTCCGGACTACATAGCACCTGAGGTATTCCAGCACAAAGGGTACACGAATTCCTGTGATTGGTGGTCCTTAGGTGTGATCATGTTTGAGATGCTAATCGGTGAGTGCTTCGTTTCTTTCGGTGGATAGCTAATCATCCCATTCAAAAGTACTGTAGGCTCTTGTTTGATCCTGATAACAGGGAAGAGTTTAGTATGCAAGTATCCAATGAAATAACCTAACTAACGTTTTGCATCCTGACCGAGTGATCGCAACGCTATCCTATGTTACTGATTTCATATGTAGTTGTTTTTACCATCAAAGAGCCACGCATCACGTAAATGTCCATCTTCTTTTTACATCGTTATTGACAAGTTTAGGCCCACTTGCCGATCGAGATTGGATCACCGTCGATATATATATATATATATATATATATATATATATATATATATATATATATATATATATATATATGCGCGTCCATACGTGCGTTGATCCATTCACTGTACTTACGTATTCCCCAAGAATATGCTACCCATTAAACCTGCAGTTATGACCGGTGCTGCTGCTAATGCCAAATGTACCTGTAAACATGACTGTAATTGTGATTGTCATCTTGATCATTGAAGATTGAGTAAACGCAACTGCAGCGTATAGATTCCTGTTAGCCGACGGATATATTCAGCGTCGTGATTAGATTTGTGAATTTACTAGTTGACGTTCATCTGTTTTCGTTAATATTGACAATCGCTCCCGGTTTCGTCTTTTTCCACGCTTAAGCGCTAGTTCAGTAGATAGGAAATACATCCTAAATGCAAGACTCCACTGTATCGTCAGGTAGCACCGGAAACTGTGAGACTGGATGCGGAGAAGAAAACAGAATTAAGCACAAGAACGAGCGTTTACTTGGATTTGATTCGTTGATAAAATGCATTCGGCTGGGAATCTGCTCCAGTGCCACATATTGTAATGATCAGACTTCGTGGATAGTAGTGTTTTCTTATTGTGTTCCGAATAGGGCGATGGTGCATTGCGCTTGAAGCTGTAACGTATGGCTCCCAACTTGTGGTGTTTGACTCTTTTGCAGTGGAAGAACGCGTGGACACTTCATTAAATGTGTTTGGTTAGATCTAATTAGGGGCAAAGAGTGTAAGTAGTCTGTCAGGGTTTCAAAATAATAATTTTTTTCCACGCAACATTGACGCTGCACTCACCGTTAAAACGAAGTTTGACTCTTTCATTGATATAATCCTTACTTTGAATGTTTTCTTTCCGGAGGCATCAGACAGTTACTTTGTCTGGTCGACTTTTACTATTAACAAGGACGATGGGATTCTGTGATTGCATATCCGACATCAGCTTAGCTTATAATGTGCCGGAAGAATGAATAGAAGCATTGACGAAATCTTCGAACCATGTGACTGCCTTCTCATCTGGTGACTCACGCATTCGATTGTCCAGTCCCAATCGACAGTTGTGTCGTGTTTTGTTATTTGGACCATTCGAGTGTATTGCACCCCGCACATATTGGATGCTATCGTCTCACAAATACCATCACGTGAAATACCGCTGAGTCACGTGTAAGCACACCTTCACAACCGCCGCTGTCCGAATATACTAACGTGGTTGATGGTTTCCACTGCGTCCCGTCCTATGCACGTGTTTATTATGACTCGGTTTTTGTGCGACTATCCGTCTAACCGCTTCATGATGTACCCGTATCGCTGGGTTGAGGTTAACGTCGTGCCATTCGCGCATAACCTTGATGATAAATGTGCATCGTTAGCCGCCCACGTCTTTACATCGATTTGGGGGATGCGTCAGTGCATTGGTTCGGCGATGGCCCGTTCCAGAGTCTCAATAACAGATTCCGGGATGTGAATATCCGGCGCGAAACTGGTGCTGATGCCTGTCTCTTTCCTCTTCACTGAGTATTTTTGTGGGGCAAACCTGGTCAGTGCGTTCTCCTCCAAACCACACCATTGTTTGTGTTCCTGACACATCACGAGTCTTGTGCCATTCTCGGTCATCATCGATAGTATTGGAAATAGCACAGCTGTCCTCCATTTTTTATGCTTGACGCTGTTCGTAAGGTGAAACTGCAAGGTCGACGTTGTTAGTTCACCTCCTACTCCCACGTTTAGTTTGTAACGAGAACCAAACCTCTCCGTTGTTTCTCATCAATCAACAAGAAAACAAAAGCGTAGTTTGTAGATGACCTAACATGTCTTTCGCTTTTCTCTTCGTACTTTCTGCGAATATGTAAAAATGAGGCATCTACCGTCGTCACTATCATTTCGCACGCTGTCCACCCTGTAAATTACCAGGGCTGATTGATGCTGTAGTTTAATTTGCATCCCATCACTGTTTATTTTACTCTGTTCGCCATATTGTACTTCAGTTCAAGGAGATTGACATGCACTATCCGTGTTTAGCTCACTATTGAAAACCATAGAAATATTCCCTGTGCAACTGTTTTTATCTTCTTTTTTATCCCATGGTTTTTAACGATGAGCATCCATTACTGCATTATCAGTCATACAAAAAAACGAATTTCTTACTGAAACGGATCTGTTAATATTAATAATAATACTTTTATTATTATTAATATTATACGCCGGCCTGAAACCAAGCAAGCACGATGCCCAGTGCAACAACACCAGTTACAAAAATGGGGTACGGATGGGCAAAAAACAACAGCAGAACAGTGGATCATCGTATGCGTGATATCTTTTTCGTGGTTGTTTGTACTGCGGGTTGTTGGACTATTCGGTCGCGCGGTCCATTGTAGGCCTTTGTATTCGGGTAGCCAAGCGCATGCTAAAAGACGGCAGTGTTGGCCCATATGAGACGACGGCCAATTTTACGGTTCATTCGCCCCTTCTGGAAAATCTTATCGGGTAAATGGAACACGACAGGGAGCTTTGGGCTTAGTTAATGCCGGGTTACTTTCGCCATGTCACAATGCTATTAGTAGATTTATGTAGCGTTTTAGAGCGGGGACACTAGCCAAGCGAAATCCCGTCACATCCTCGAGCACTGCCGCTGATTGTTCCTCTATCTGCGACTTGGGGGCGCACCCGGTAGCATTCAGCTCTACTGTCCGCAACCGATTCTTTGGCTGCAAGCCGAGCTAACGTCCGACACTGCATGACGAATCATATAATGAATGAATGAATCTACCATTGCTGAAAAATACCAGACAGATGGACTCTGTAGGTTGTTTGTAGCTTTACTTGAACTTCCTACGAAGAAAACGTCAATCACAGGAGTCGCTCGGTGTGCAGATGACGATTTGCTGTCGTTCGAAGCAAGTGATGAGAAGGCGTTGTCATCTAGTGTTTGTAGTAAACATGCTAGCCCTGGATAACCTGTTTGCCAGTTGTTCGATTCACACGCTCACCTCGGGTTCAAGCCCCAATGAGGACATGCACTGCTGTTATTATAAACGACTGTAGTGTTCTGAAAGTGATGTAGACACCCGTGGGAGGGTCGTAGTTAGCAAATTACTGCTGAAGTCCTCGTTGTTAGGCAAAAAGATGCACCATATGCGTCGCAAATCGGATGCACTTTTACTTGGCACGTGTGATGGACGCCACATACCGGGTATATTTTGCGGATTAAAAGTTGGTTGTATAAACTTACAAATCCCACATACGAAATGAGAGTAAATTCAGTTAGCACCTTTGGTGGCAGTCTGTTTTGATAACCGGTTTTATCACAATTAACTTAGACTAGTTCATCATGTAGTCTTCGTTTTACGTTCGTACAGAACGTAGGACCTTTAATCTTTGTGAAATATTGGTTGGTTTCGCTAATTTGCTTCACTACCTTGGAACTTTCAAGGCCTTTTTTTACTGGCGATTGGTGTTCCAGTGTACGCCTCAGTTCACTTTGTGAATGGTCTACCTTTTTGCCTACTAACGAGGATTTCAGCAGTAAGTTGCTACTTCCGACTTTCCCATGGGTGTCTAGTATTGTTATCCACGCTGTGGAGTGCCTACTTTACCTTACTGCGCTTGGCTTCTTGTAGAAGATAAGCCAGCTTCATGATCGCGGCTCCTCATGCTGAATGATTGGCAAAAAGGTCCTTGCAAAGATCGATCTAGTTGAATTTCCATTAACGGGTGTCATGCACCATACGAAGGCCAGGCGGGTTCATTTCTTCGAACACGGTATCCAGCCAGGTTTTGAATTGTCCTCTTCGTCGGTGACGCTGGTCTGGACATGGAGATGGTGCCAGGAAAACGCTGATTAGGAAGTCAAGAGTGCTTCCATGGTTTTCAGTCGTCACTTGAATGTTGTTGCTGTATTACGACTCATTTCACACATCGTGTTTGTTTGTTGTTGAGGTTCATGTTCTGGATAACGTCGAATTGTCAAACAAATGAATCGCTTAACGCAGTTGACGGTATCCATTGCATGCCACCACGATCAAAATGACATTCAAGGAACACCGATGTCGGTCGAGCTGCATGAGTTTCTGGCTATGAAGCCCGAAATGAGAGGTTGCAAGTCCACCATCGCCTGTGAACTTTGATGTATCTTAGCTCTACGATCCGATTCCTAAAGTCACGGTCACCGGCGCGTCTGCTGTTCTGTAATGGGTCTTTTTTTTGCTTGAATCACTAATCCGAAGCCATCGAGAAAAAAATGCACCATAATAACTGAACAATGCCGTTTTGCTAATAGATAGCATCCCACTGCCGTACTCTGGATGGAGCCAACCGGAATGATTTGTTGGAGACACGATAGTGGGACCTCAGTGGAAGATGCGAAAGTGCAATAAAAGATCCATGGTTGGTGAGGCGAGTCAGCAAAGAAAGCACTCATATAAATGAGTAAGACCGTTCACTTCCTAAGCTCCCCGTCTAGGCCGAATTGGCATTCGCCTTCTTGGCTCTGAAAATCACACTGAGATGTACCCAAGCATTGTCTCAAGTGATGCTCTCTTACGATAAAAACGTGACACCTTCGTCGATCATCGTGACCTACGTTTTATCCGGAAATTTCATTCTGTTTTTCATTTTACAATGCCAGTATTTTAGTTCATCTTAGAAATAGGAGTGATCATTTGGTGGTGATTTTTATATGCTAATTGAACAAGGAGTCGTTATCATAAAATTTGTAAGATGGCGTTTGCTCTTCCAAATGAGCAACTGTCCTGTTCAAAGTGTTTCATGTTTAGATAGTCATCTGCTGATGGCTAAACATGATCAGCAAATCACTTGGTGATTTACGGAAAAACGTTTCTTGGGTCCCATGATTCCACCCTGGTTGGAGTGATTATTCTCCTATCTGTTTCGGCATGAATCTGCTTCCTTTTCTCAGTGTGGATATGTCATTTTTGGTACTGCTCGCTTTGTCATATAAACAAATGCCAGTGTGCAATATTGTGATTCTGACTTCTCTTTTAAATATAAAATGATCATCGACCGCGGTTTAACATTTTAACATTTCTCAATTGCTCTGACCCTATTAATCTCCTTAAGTTATTCGGCTCTTCCCCACAAATCTCGCAGTCACATTGTCATTTTTTTCCATCCTAGGTTATCCTCCATTCTGTGCATCAACACCCCAGGAGACGTACAAGAAAGTGATGAACTGGAAGGACGCTCTATTCTTCCCCCATGAAATGCCAATTAGTGCGAACGCACGACATCTAATTCAGTCATTCTGTTGTGCACCCGATTCCCGTCTGTCCAGTCTGGAAGAGATCCGACGTCATCCGTTCTTTCACAATGTGGACTGGGAACATATTCGTGAAAGACCAGCTGCGATTGCTGTCCAGATTCGGTCGATAGACGACACCAGTAATTTCGACGAGTTCCCCAACGCGGACCTCAGTTGGCGTGAGTTTACCGCTTAGTCTTTTCCCTAATTTAAGAATAACTAAATAGACTACTAATACTATGCATTCAATACTCGACTGGATTATTCATCAGGTTTTTTCGAGTCGTTTTTTGTACTACGTTTATTTTCCATACCCAGTTATGGATTTGTACTGACTGGATTACTTGCAATGTCTGATAGAGTCTACTATAGTAGCGAAAATCTCCGGTGCAGAATAGCAAAGTTTTAGTTGACTGGATGTGACGGCTAGCTGGAGGATAGCAGATTCGACAAGCGCTAAATTGCAACTCAACTGTAGATTGCGTATTACCAATAAAGTCACCTCATTCCAAGAATGTGTATTATTTGATGTGCCTTTTTCCAACAGTGTATTGGTCATCTCACACCCATTTCTTTGCTTAGCCTCAAACGTTTCTTAGACCGATGCAGTGTCAACATCGTTAAATATTACTGTCTTCCCTTTTCCATTCACCATTTCGCATTTCATTTTATCGACCTTGTTGGTATCATTTTTTTTATAACCATTAATTTGTTGGATTCTTTTGATCGCGCCCTGATTAGGGACATCTCGTACGATCCTCGTACACTTGGAAAATATTAGCAGTATATTCTTTTCAGTATAAAAAAACGAATAACTGAACCGAAAAGTGAAGGTATTCTGGTATGTGTATGAATGAAGGTTAGTAGTGGGATAAGCATACGATCAGCAGTGACCAGTGGTAGTTAAACGATCATCTTGATGATCTTCGAACACTTCTGCGTGAATCCGAATCCCGCCACGGCCGCCGGTCACTTAAAGTGGCCGTGACCCCCTTGAAATTATGTACCATTGTTTTAATGAAAAGAAATAATAAATGAAAGAATAATTAAAAAATAAAATAAAAATCGAACTATCTCGGCAGGATCTCGGTGTAATACATAGCGTTCAACCGTCACTAACCTCATTCTTTAGAAAATTTACGGACGCAATAACTGACTCATTTGTGGTTCGTCTTCCAACAACTAGACTTTATAGATTGTTTGTGATATCTTTACTCCTTCTAGCCCCCTGCTGAGGGGTTGCACATCGTAGGAATCGATCGTTGCACGGGCGAATATTTGTCATGGTTCACAATCACTGGTGTATCACGTAGTGTTATCGCGAATTGTGCTGTTAGGAACCAGTCCGTATAGTCTGTAAGAAATATATGTGGCTCACGATCAAGTCTTTGTTTGGAGTGAGCTGATAGGAATTGTTAATGTTAGTTCCTAACAATCTAAATGGGGCAGATGTGCAGTGTTTCCAGTGGTGAGTTGAGCGTTGAAGATAACTGCATGACAAATTACTCCATGAATGGATTAAATTACGTTCCGGAAAAGGACCGAGTGAGACCATGAGGAAGATCCAAGTGTGTGGGTTGAAATATCAACATTCGATAGTACTGCCGGATGTCTTGTTCTTGCTGCAGTTCGTGGTTACCGCGGACCTACATAGAGAGTCCGACACGCACAAAAGCACAAATGAACTCCACAGTCTGTGGTTTTTTAAAATGTTGTTAATTGGTAATTTGATCATCATCGGTCCTCAGATAAAGCCTGCAGTGGCCAAACGATCATCATCACCGAATTCGGCTGATGATGTCCTAGGATCGGTTCTTACCGCCGCCGTTCATTCCCACGTTTGGTAGTCCTTGAGTGATGTTTCAGAAAAATTATGCTTTATCCTATAATAAATGAAAGAAATAAGACCCTCTTTGTCAATAAAACTGGTACCCACAGCATATCAGCGTAGCTTCTTGAGTCTTATTGTTTATTGTAACAAATAACCTCGCTTGTTGCCCGGTGGTCCAAGCATCCTCTCTATGTCCATTCCTGATTCGACTGCGACCGATCGTATTCATTCGACTTCTTCACTTGTTCCTAATTGTTGCTATTATACGAATCTACCCTTTTTTCTCATTCTCCATCCGCGATCGTTATTTACCATTTCTCACGTGCAGCGAATGTGACCGACCCGACGAAGAGTTACCAGAAGAATCTCGCTTTTATCAACTACACGTACAAAGCATTTGATGGTTGGACAAACAATGATCGGGCCCTTGGACACCAAATGTTGCAACAGCAACGACATCAAAGTGCACTCGCCTCTCGGGATCTAATCAATTCCATCAGTAGTATGCCATCAGCTTCCGGCTCAACGACTACCCGATAACTCCCTCGCTGCCATAGACCGGCCACTTGTGCATTCCTACTCCCACGTTATCGATCTGTAAAATGCGCGCCAACCACAGGTGTACCATTGGTCTTTCTCGGGGTTTTGCCTTTGGTTTCTCAATTTGTGTGTGTATGTGTGTGTGTGCTTCAATGTCCTTTTTCAAATCAGGCCAAGCAATTTTCTCGTAACAGTTGAGCTGAAGGAGACTGCACATCCAGCCGGGGTTAAAGATCCCATCTGAAATATCTACCCCATTCCTAATCCAAATCTTTCATCTCCATCGAAGTAGTTGTATATCCCCTATCCAAGTCCTATGCCTCGACAACCTCCGACCTAGTTTCTGTGATCCATTTCTTCAAGCTCGAGCTCAATCCAAGGATTTCAGTCAGTGTCTTATTGGCGGTCAAACTCATCAACAATACTGATTATCACCCAGACACGCAATACAGTATGTGAACATCCTCATGGCCCGTCTGTTTCTCCTCTTCCTTATGTCTACGTCACGTCTTTCGTATCACTCATGCTGACGCTCAGCTAGTGCATTCCTAAAAGCCCTCTCCGGATCCTCACTTCTTTCTGACTCTGGTATTCTGTAAACTTCAGTTTAAATCTATCATTTGCACTCACTGGCCTACGGGTCGTGGTCAACACCTCATGGATCCCAGATTCACCATTTTTCGTTTAGTCTCCCGAGTAAACTCCCTGTTTTCATGGTCCAGTTGACTACTTTGCGCGTCTTTTTTATTCTATGGCGCCAAAATTTTGTCTCCGTTACCAACGTATCAGGCACAAGATTCAATAGTGAAGACAGTTTTGTGCCTTGGTTATGGATCGTTCTCATCCGTTTTCCTCCTGCATCTTTGCCGTTCTCTACCTCTTACCTCCGAAGAAACAGTTGCAGTCATCTGTCTCGTCGTATTCTCTGACTAAATCGTCCTCTCCAGCGCGATATTTGTCCTTACGCCAAATCATTCATTTCTTCAGGCCATATATTCTACTTTATTTCCTGACTGTTGCAGCAAATCTAGCCCTGGAGCATTCACTCTCTAATCGGAGATAAGTACTCAGACTTTCTGTCTCGTATTCTGACTACTGGTAATGAATCAGTAGCCCCATTTGAAATGTCATTTTGAAGGCGTTTATCTGCCAAACCATCCACGTGTTTGTTTTGTCACAGTGTCCGGTCATTAGCTCACGTACACACTCACATATCACTTTGATGTTGCGACTTATTTTTTTTCGCGTCAATCGTTCTTCATAGTTGGCACTGAACGGCTGACTGCAATTCGTGTCCGACAATCTCACACAGCAGATTATCCAACATCGCCTCACCACATCTCTCCGAACTTACCAGTTCATTGATTGGTGTATTCCTAATATACTCTATGTTTGTCGTTCATCCATATATCCCACTTAGCACCATTTACTGCCGGTGTCCTGTTTCTACATCCCATCATTCTTTCCACATTCACCTTCCTCACCCGCTCTATTTGGAATGAAAGTCACTTTTCCGAAAGAGTTAGGATATCGTAAGATGTACACCACCTCTTCTCCTACCTCATTGTTACAGATTCGCTTGTGTTTCTCCATTATCGGTACACATAGAAATTCCGCGTTTGACGAAGTCTACGTAACCAATCTAAAGCTGATTCGGATGATTGTTCGTAGCAATACCCGCACACGCATACTCCAAATTCCAGTCGGTTTCTCTTTGAACAGCTTTGTCACTTGTGTGCATTCAGTCGACCGCCACCCATTGGTTCAAAAAAAAGACTCACGTATCGATTCTTTCCACTTTTTATGTGAATAGACTGAGTCTACAACCGACTGGCTATTCATCTATGCGGTGTCAAGCATGGTTTTGATCGTGATCCCTGTCTTCACATGATGTGATGGAATACCTGCGTATGTCTATCTCCATCTCGGTTCGTTTCTCATCGCATATGTGCCGATCCATAAAGGTTTCACTTTCTCATTCAATGCCTGTCCCACATAACCGTCGAATCGGACACTACTTTCAAATGGTACGCTTTGTGCCCTATTTGATGTCCAGTCATCTTCACTGCACATTAGTTCATCCGTCTAACACCTTCCGCCGTCGATGCAACCATCCCCTCCTCCCCCCCCCCAAAAAAAAAGCACGACTGACATCGATTTTCCCCTCCAGTTTTTCTCTTCTTAGCATTTGCTATGTTGCTGTACACAGATGGATAAATTTGCTTCCGAAAGCGATTTCCAGTCAATTTTTCTTCTCACGACGTTGGTCAGAGCTGGATTGAGTACGGGATTCTGTATTCACAGTGAAATCATGCATTTGGTTTGTCATTCAGTTTATGCGGTTATTCTTCCTTCCAGATGACGGGAAATCTACTTGCATTTTTCGCATCCAGAAGTCCACTTTGAACACATCGATCAGCTTGGCGAACTCTTACTTAATTGTAATATAGTCGTTCAGTTTCTGTCCATTCCTGTATTTGCTTGAAAGACCTATGCAAAGAGTATGTCGACATTTCGCCCGGAGAGTCGGGGATTGTTCCGTCCGATTCACTAGAACGGTTGACAAAGGGTAATCGAGGTGATGATAGGCTTCCTTGAAAATGGAGTGCATCGATGTGTTTCTCTGATGGATTCCCTAAGTGAGGACAGCCCAAATACTGACCGTTTTGCTGGGAGCCTATACCTCATACTACACGTGTGTTTTAGCCACCGTTGTTGGACAATATAATTGCCTAGTAATAATTCGTATAATTGATTTTTTTTCATGATTTTGTTGATTATCGTCGCACCGTTGCGTGTAGGGTAGGTAGACTTGTACTTGAGCCGATGTTCATCTGGGACGCATTGATGAGGATCGTGTTTAACAAGTTCCCCCCATGAAAGCCACAATGTTTGTGACTATCATTATTTTGAAACGCAGTTTGATTAGACCAGCTGTTGTCCTGCCATCTTCATTCAGAACAGCGTGATACGTTCGAATAAACCTAATAATAAGTGGGTTTATTCGCTGTGATAGTCTGGCCGTAGTGTCACGGAAACAGCTTTTCTGGGCGCTTTTTTCTCCGTTAAGTGGACTAGTTGATATCAGTGTACCGTTTGATTTGCTGTAATCTTTGTAATCTATCTCCTGTCCCTCATTGATGGGCTTTTCTCATGATCTCCGTTTTTTAACTCCTGTCACACCGGCCCTCTAGCGTTGGACCGGAACGCGTCAGCATACAGCCCGGAATAAGTTTATTAATGACAAACACCACGGTGAGTGCAAGTGAAAATATCCGAAAACGCCCACACGTACGTCATCATTGGGTAGATCCTATCGCTGTGGCACCAGCTAGCAAGGTGTTTGAATTTCATCCGATTTCGTGGTCTGCCTACGCATGGTCGATCGTTCGTTAGACTTGAGCAAATGTGTGTGTGCATATATATGCGCGCGCTCGTTACGGAGGTGTAACGCGGTTCATGCTTAACTAATATGGTTAAATGTGAAGTAGCTGTTCGCGAATCTGATATTACCATTAATATGGGAGAATCGGAGTTCCTCTGGGGATATGAAATAGAGAATCGTCCTTTTGAAACTTAGACGATGGTGGCCGAGTCAAACAAATCTTGTACTGATGAGTCTACCCGAAGGACTTTAAACCTTGTCACCATCGGGCAACGCAGGTGTTAGACGGAACTCACTGGGGTGATAGCTGATGATCACCTCTGTGAGTTTCATGGTTGAGGTTGCTGGTTTTCTTCAAGTGAACAGTAGACTCAATGGTGAGGTTTGCCCCATCCTTTGTTCTTATGTACATATTTTTATTCCCCCACTTGTTCACAAGAGTAACGGAAAGTTCATATGCATAACGCGGAGTGCCCATTGCATTATCAGAGATAACTGACAACCGTTCTCCTGAAAACTCCGTTGTTCGTAAGCCACGGCATTCTCCAGTAGATTAGGCTTGAAAGCTGTCTAGGTGACGCAGAAGTACTGCATAATATCACCACTGTTGGCCGGTATTGAGTGCGTCGAAACCTCGTGGTACACTTGATATTCCTATTTGATTGTTACTCCAGCACAGCCGATTTACGGATGGCAGACCACTGTAGTGGCAGGCCATAGACTGCCATATTGACTTTTGGTTGATACATTTACTGAACTTTGGCTCATTGGGTTTTTTTTACGGTTTTATTTTTGTAGATTGAGCACGTGCAGCTCTCAACCTCGGAAGAGCGCTGTCGCAGCATAATACACCATAATTGATATGTTCAAGGACACCTTACGTTTTCCACAAACTACACATTCAGTCTCAACTACATACTGCTTCTTTTTCGATAGTCATAGGTTTCGTGTAGTCATCTTTTAAATCATGTTTTCGAGTCCCTGCAACTTGAAAGTTATATTTTTATTCGTAAATTAGGTGAAGAAGTTCTCACATGTTGCGCACCGCTGCGAAAAATCCCGAGTTATATCATAGGTGAAGTTGCGATTTCAGTTGCTTGTCCGCATTGCTGATTATTGGTCTGACAGATTAAACGTCCCCATGACCCAGCGAGCCATACACGGTAGATTTGTGATGCACTAGAAACAGTCGATCCGTAAGCGATGGGTGGTTCAAATCGGACGAAGTTTGATCCCACAAAATTTGTCGATGAACAGAAACTCACTCCGTGCAGCAAAACGCCATACTACAGCGAATAAGTTCGGAGGGAAGCAGTATACCGATAACGAAGCCCCGCCGAATAGACATACAAGAAGGGCAGCCGAGGCTTTTGTCGATGCACGAAGGAGTTGCCGCAATTAAGCATGCAGCTCTAAATATGCAGTTTCTACAAACCTAATCGGCAATTACCGAACACAGGACGGCTTACAAAGTAAAAGGTTCCACATGACCGTAGTTCTTCGTTTCGTCCTTGTTGTTAACTCCACTGCTTTGTGGACTAGAATATTGATTCGGAGGCTCCGCCTATATTTTCCGAAGAGGAATCCGAAAGTTCAAAAGCAATTAGCTCGCTGT